CCAAGGGGATCACCAATGGTAAGGAATGGATGCCCTGGCTGTGATAAAAAGTGGCAGGAGACGTACTTTTTGGCAGATTTTATAGAGCCAGGAATCATAGATAAGGAAATTTTGGGTTGTTTAAAACTGTTGTCCTTGTCACTCTAGAGTAAATGGTTAAAATAGTTTTTCAGAAGCTTTTATTAGGGTGACAATCCCACCAGATGTGGTTCATTTTTCCATCAAGGCCCTGACAGCACCAACAGACATTAGGGAGACATGGGTAAAAATGATGCAGGATGTCTGGATATCTGTACCAGAGTTTATGTGGGAATGCTTTCTCTCAGTCCTCAGTTTTAATTTAGATATCAAATTCCTTATCCAGGGTGACTGTGTAAACAGGTAGGTTTGAATGTGAGGAAGCTGACAGGATAAAATATATTTGGGAAACAGAATGTTCTGGAGAAGATTTGCCAAGTAGTAATCCTGTCGATTTGATATAGACTGAAGACGATTAAAACTTGAGAGTCTGTGGTCTATTGTAAGTGGTTTCAAAGGGGTCCATGAAAGATGAGTGAGTGGACCTGTTGTTAGTAAGTCTGTGATGAGGTACTCATTATGCCCCAAATGTGGACCTATGTATTGCTGGGGGAAAGGACAAGTTATCAAACAAAGGGGTCATGAGACCAATTTATGTGGAAGTCTTTAAGGTTGAGGTGACCCTACACTATAGGCTAGGGGCTTAATTTGTAAGGTACTGTAGAGGGCTGAATTCCTTGCACTGTTGAGGTGCTGTCCATGGGAGGTCCTGTAGATCAAGCAGGGTCATGGATTGTTTGATCTGAACTTAGGGTTTTGATGGTAGATGGTGAAATCAGTCCATAATTCTGGTAAAAACTGATGTTTTTCCTCTTTCTCTGCCCCCCCCCCCCCTCTTAATCACTACTGAAAGCTTTATTTTTTTACTGGGAGCAGGTACCTTTTTCAGGTAGGTATCCACTCCCACTTCTGATTAGGCGAGCCGATCCTTTCCTTCCTGCAACCTCCTGGGACACCTCACAGGTCCCAGGAGGCTGTAGGACCATTCAGAAAGTGCAACTCGTCTCACACATGCACAGTGGGGTGCTGGCTGTGAGCCACCAGGAAGTCACAGGTGGCTTCCCACACTCAAGTGGTGCAGGAGACCCAAAGACAGGCTCAGATGATGATAGCGTTAGATCCTTGGTCTGGTAAGTACTTGTTTATTAAAAGTCAGCAGCTATAGTATTTGTAGCTGTTAACTTTTAATTTTTCTTCTAATGCCTGGAGATGCTCTTTGTTTTACCCTCTGTCATGAATGCATTAAGAATGAGGTAAAGAAATAGATGGGGCAGTTTCAAAGAAATACAGGAAATGGGGAAGTGATGTCCATTTTGAGTATATTTATTCACCCTATCGGCATCATACAAATTTCTGTTTGTTCAATTTTGATTTACCTTAACTTTACATTAACATTTTGCAAAAACAGATGATCATTTCCTGGGTATGTGGTGATCTATGTCTGGGAAAAAATGATTAATAATAGCAAATTCACATAAACTAAGCTTTTTGTGGCCCTCTGAACATGTTGGGGGCTGCACTTGAGGTAGAGTTGCCACCTCATCCCTTTAAAACTGAACACATATTAATTACACAGGTTTTGAGGTTAATTTAATGCAGGTAAGGCACTAAGTGTGTTTAATTACCACCTTAATCAATCACAGAACCTGTGTAACTAAAATGTGTTTGGTTTTAACCCTAACTTGAGGCCCCACTATATTATATTGACTACCACTGGTTTACAGTCTCATCCATGTGGCTATTATGCTCTATGGTCAGGCTTGGAGTACTTTTGAGAAGACCACCAGGGCTTGATCAAGAATGAAAGGAAGTGGGTGTTGTTGGCTATGGGTTTTTGGGTGGAACTGTAGTTCCACTTTGAGGGCCCATTCACACTTGGCCATTGTGGCAATGTTCAGTGCCATTCACTGTGAATGACACTCCAATGCAATGCACAGTTGAGTGCAACACATGACACACCACAGTGTGTATTGGGTTTCTATAAAAAAAGGTTGTATACCTTCTTGATCTGCTGTGGTGTTTTGACAGCCCATTTATAATGGCTGAGCTGCCTTAATGCAATGGATGTTAGAGCACAAAGTAATGGGTGTTACCGCTCATATGTTATTTCACCACAGCAGATTGCTGAAGTATGAATCAGCCCCAACAGTATACTGCATACTCAGTAAAGCTTTTTTTTTAGTGCTACTTGAATGAAATAAGAAGGCTTACCAGAATTTATACTTATATGTATATGTGTATACAGAGTAGATTCAGTGGAATTTTTCTTTTGGCTGCGCTTATGGGAGCACCCAAACCGTTAGCCACAGAGGCTAATTCAGCTTTACCGTAAGAAATGTTTCATAGAAAGTAAATGGGTTAATCTAATGAATGAAGCTCTGCTTTGGAGTGGCCTAAGAGAGGGCACACCCAGTTAGAAAATGTTAGTCACTCATTGCAGCTAACTCAAAGCAGATGGATCGTTTCATAAAGAAAATAATTCCAGAGACATCACGTCTTCCCTTACTGTCCCCAACTTTCTCTTTCTTTATCTTCACGCCCTCTGAGAATTTATGAATTGATGTACAGGGCACCCAAACTGCCCTACATGCAATTAAATATATGTATGGTATTTTATAAAGTTTTTGCTTTTTTTTTTAATACATTAATGTGTTTAAGTGGCTAACTGGACTCTGGCTCTGGCTGTCTTGCTGATGCAATGCAATAAATACTTTCTGATTGACCTAAAGCAAGTTCTGACATTACTGTGATTTCAGTGGTTGTATATGCTTTTTCTAAGTCAGTGACTCAGAATATAGAAGCCACTGGATCAACATGACAGCCAGGCATCTAGAATTGAAGGTGTTCAGCAATGGTAGTCTACATATAATCAACAGATTAACTGTTCTCTGTAAAGAATCTTTAGTCTTGGTTCACGCTAGTGCGACTTTGGAAGCAACATGAATCACACAGAATTGCACAACAAGAGAAATCTCATTGTTTTCACTGGTACCCATTCTAATCAATGGAATTCAGCAAGATGAGATTTTGGAAATGGTTTCTGCACTACTTTGGTGCAATTTACAGTGTGACTTGGCCCCATAGAATATGCAAAGTTGCATCAAAGTGTCATCACAGTAGTGTGAACTGAGACTTAAAGCAGTAGAAACGGCTGTTACTAAAAAAAAAAAATTCCCCTGCAAGTTAAGGGCGTAATTTTCTAGTATGCATAGCATACTAGCACAGTATTAAGGACTTACCTTAAAATGAAGCCCTTCTTCAACGCGCTGTCATCGCTGACATGCTTCCATCTTCACCTGGTCTTCCCATGATGCTGTCATTCCCGCACATGTGCATGGGAGCGATGGCTCAGCGCTCTGAAGGGATGACATGCCGACCCTTCAGAGCACAGTGCGCATGCGCCAGTGACATCACCAGCTGCAGGAGTAGTGAATATCCCTGCACATTTAAGAGATATTCATTGTATTTACAGGTAAGTTTTATTGTAAGATTACCTATAGATATAGGTGAGCAAGTGGTGGTTACTACCACTTTAAGGCTTGTGTACAAAATAAATTAAAAAACATAGTGTGTGCTGCAGTACTCACCTTACATTCAGAGTTGCCACTGCAGTACTTCTTTTCCACCACAGGATGTCCTTGGTATGCCAGGTTTAACGCCAGTCAGCTTTAAGCCAAACTCCTCTGAGCCCAGGCCATCATGGACCCTCCTTTTTCCAGCCTGTGACTGGTCAATAAAGGAGGAATAGCACAATGATGATTTCATCCCTCTGTCACTCTGCTTTCTCCTCCTATCAGCATGCTTTTTGTCAGCATATGGACTAACTGACCTCTTGTGCTGCTTCTTCCTCTTCCAGTCTGAGGTCTGGTATACAGAGGACAGCAAGAGGTTGATGCAAAATCACACTCAGGTTCTTACTCTGCTTTAAATGCACTGCTGTTATAAACGTTGGGGTTTAAAAGGGCATTCACTAGTAGAATTTAATTTAAAAATTCTCATTTTCAGAACATTCATTGACCAGTTGTTAATGTGGTCAAACTGAAGTTCTTTTTCCAGAACAAAGAAAATTTGAAGAGGCAGGATGGAAAACGTTCCTTGAACAAATTTCTCAAAGTGAGTGTAATTGTCATTCAGAAAAGTCCATTTGTTTCAAAATCAGATGTTATAAGCAAACAAAATTTTGAAGTACTTTCCAATGACATTCATCAATTCATTGATCAGAATATTTATGCAGACTTAGTTTGGAATTCTACTCGTGTATGGCCAGCTTAAGGAGTTGCTTTACTTTTCTTGAGAAAAAAAAATCAATCCTCTTTGAGTGATCTATGTAGGGACTGAAAATTTTTTTTAACAGATTCCTACCTTTGAGTGCTTTGAAGAAATAGCTCTTTGTTTTACCAGACAGATTTCAACCAGATTCTGAATGGGAGGGTCTCCTTCATTATCAATCAGCTGATGCACTTTCTGGATTCTAATGAGGAAAGTTGCAGTGTCTGCATTTCTTGAGCAGCGATTAACCTTTAAGGAGTATCTCACCAAAACTTACATATCTATTGCAGGGGTGACTAAATCTCATGTATCTTATGCAGACTTCTGGGAAAATCATTGAGCCAATCACACAACCAGGAAATGACATTTTTGGAGGCATTCTATGCAACAACTGTGTACAGAATGCCTGCCATATTGCATTGAATTTTACAGAAAATTACAGTACTGCAGATTGAAAAGTCAAGGTAATTTTTAATAACTTTAAAGTAATCCCAGACTATGAAAACCTCTCATTACATGGTACTGTATAAAACAGAGTGTGCATACTCACAGAACCACAATAGCATTTGTTTTGTGCAGTGTGAAATATACCTGGTTAATCCTGCCTTCAGCTGTCCCTCCCTTCCTGTCTGTATCCCCACTGCAGCCTGAAATTGTGTAGACCAGCTGTTGTCATCTACTGAGCATGCTCCAGTTTCAGTTCCCATGTAAGCTCTAAATTGCTATTTCTGTGCAGCCCACATGACTATAGAGTCACACATGTGGGTGTATATACAGTGGTAAATGACACTCCCCTCCAGGGGCGGACTGGCCATTTGGAAACTCAGGCACTGCCGAGGGCCCGGGGTCAGTAGGGGGCCCCATGAGATGCCCCTGGAACCTTTTTCATAGGCTTTTTTGAGTGTGGGCAAGGACACAGGGGCCCCATGATCCCCTATTGCCTGGGGGTCCCATGAATTGACAGTCCGCCCCTGCTCCCCTCTCTCCTTCTCCATGTCCTCCTATTATTGCTAAATACTAGGAGGGCAGGATATAGTATGGTGATTGATTACATTCCCTAAAAAACTCACAAAAAGCTTAGTTTTAATATAAATCAGTATTAAATAGATCAAATATAATTACTCTGTAAAGTAAAAAAAGCGCTTTGGATGCCCATGCCATCTGAACAAAATGAAATCTAGTGTCAATTATCTTTGACTCACGCCTACACCATATTAGTGCACTAAAAATACATACTTGATGTTCAATAAAGATTTATAGGCAGCTGTAAAACAGTTTTTTTTATATTTATGATTTAGTTTGAATTGCTCTTCTGTTTTTTTAGGAATATGACTGGCACAGCACCAATCAGGGCTGTGCAGACACAGACTCACACTGTAGAGAGCATACATCAATAGAGTAATAGAAGCCCCTACCAAGGATCTTTCCCTGCAGATGCCAAAGAACAGGGAAAGATCATGAGACCACAGCACAGTGCTGCAGGAATAAGGTGCTTTGACAATAAAAAAAACACACACACACACAGTGGCATGATATATATGATTTATGTGAATGAATTATGGCAATTAACACTTCTCTTTTTCGTATAACTTTAAAGTGATTCTAAAAGGAATAATTTCTAATTGAAAAAAAATAACAAATATTACCAATATAATGTGCAATGGTTTTGCACAGAGCAGCCCTGATCCTCCTCGACTTGGGTCCCCTGGCCCTTTCCCTCTGCCGAGTGCCCTCATAACAAACCACTTGCTACAGACACACCCGTGCATTCTTGATTCAGAGCCCCGCTCCTTGTGTCCATTGACATACCCTCCTGATCCCTCCTCACTGGCTGTTATTGACAGCAGCGGGAGCCAATGGTTCCAATGAACCAATAAGAAGAGAGAGCTGGGAGAGCCTCTGCTCTCATGCACATTGCTGGATCAAGATCAGGCTCAGGTAAGTAAAAGGGGAGCTGGGGGGCCTGCATAGAATGCACAATGGTAAAAACCTTCAGCCTTCAGATTCACATCAAATTACAACATGGTCTGTGTAGAAATTGTATATGCTTTTTAATTTTGTTTTTTATTGCAAAAGTGTTGTTACCCTTTAAACAAGTGGTTGAAAGCTATTGTCAAGACCAACCTGCAATTATCAGTACCCTCCTTTGTTATCCCATCTGACATTTTTCTCTTTAAGGCTCAGTTCACACTATGCAGGTTGGTTCCAATACCCACAACCGCAGCATGCTGCTTTTACAAGACACGCACGGCTGCCATTCATTCTGAATAGCACCTCCACGCACCGCATTGCAGTGTGTTTTCGGGTGCGGGAACTGCAGAGAAACCAAATAGTCAGAAAGACCATGCATTTTCCATTCAGCCCGTTTTCATAAAGGTGCATGCACCTTTTTTATGCGGGAAAATGTGGGCAGAGTCCATTCACAGCCCGCAGTAATGGGAGCTGAGTCTTAATGAAAAATTTGGAATGAAAACCTTGGTTGGAGAGACAGGGAAAAGCAAGGAGGGAGCTGTACAACATCATCGAGTAGGCTGGAAGAATTCTGTTTTCACTGACAGTTTGCTTGGCTGCTATGAGTTGCTTTCTAAAATGTGAAAATGGTTCACTTCTTTTGAACTTTTGGAGATAGTTTATGTCCCTCGAGCTCATATAATGTGTAAAAAGTATTCTGAATTTTTGCTGTGGGTGTTTAGGAATTCCATAAAATGAACAGACTTAATCTTGTGAGTTTCTTTGTAAACTCCGATCATCATAATCACCCTGGTTGTATGTTAAACATTGTTCTCTGTCCTGCCTTGGTTCTGCTGGCGGTAAAGCCCTCACTTCCTGTAATCACAAATGCTGACCTTGAGCTGTTTGTGAAATCACGGGGTTGAGAAGGTTTCCTTGGGAATGTGTTTGCATTGACCTTTGATTAATGCATATAATTATCATTTGCAGTTCTTTTTATTTTCCCTGTAAACCACCCAGATTTCAGTTACTATTAAGTTACTTTTTTGTCAAAGTGCTTTAAACAATATTTTAATTTTGGCAGTAACACTTTGTAGATCATTTTATGAATATATTTTGGAAAAAATAAAACCTCTTAAAGCAGAATTCCACTAAACACCGCATGTTCATTTAAGCAAAACATATTAAATTATCCAAACAGAATTTTAGAAAAAAAATGCATGTGTCTGGTTTCTATGCCTCTAAGACCGCATTCACACTTGCAAATTGGGATGTTAGCAATAACATGCAGGAGAATTACATGCAAGCGGGCACAATTAGCTGCAGGATGTGTCATCCTCCCAGCCCCTGCAGCTAATTGTGTCCGCTCACATGTAATTACTCATGGAGCCATAACCCTGGGAATGATTGCGCCCTGGACACAAAGGGGTTTATTTACTAAAGCTGGCGAGTCCAAAATCAGACTCCCTTCTGCATAGAAACCAATCAGCTTCCAGGTTTCATTGCCAAAGCTTCATTGAACAAGCTGAGGTTAGAAGCTGATTGGTTTCTATGCAGAAGGGAGTCTGATTTTGGACTCTCCAGCTTTAGTAAATAAACCCCAAATTGTCCAATAGGACTGTCCAAGGACACTGGGTCTCCTGCATGCGCTCACTAACAGTCCCTCTTTGTACTCCTCATATAATGGCAGTCTTATGTTTGTCTCCTGAAGTGAGGCCTTTTTCTTCTCTGGGTGTCATGTAGAGTCTAGATAACTAAACAGAAATTTGTAGACCATCTTGAACCTACACTTCTACTGTGGATTCTGTTTTTCTATTTGCAGTCTGTGATATTCATATCTCTATCCTTTTGGGACTCAGTCTGCCTTCTTTGGAGACAACGTCCGCCATATAACTGCGTCCTATATGCAAGCTACCTTTGATTTATATTGCAATTTCTACTCTGGTTCTGGGGCCTTGATGTCTTTAGGGGTGATTTCCCGTGGGTCGGCAGGCACATATAAGTGACACATATAGTTCATCTGTATCTCAAGATCTTTTTTTATGTGATACTTTGTCCGCTATATTTAAGGAGATCTTTCAAATTTGAGTGTGTACACATTCAAATAAATGATTTGTGGGTCCTGAAGAAGCGGGGACACCCACAAAATGCATCGACCTACGTCATTGGACTCATTCTATATATTCAAGAAAGATGTTTGTACCTATAGATGGTTCTTTCTATATGTCAGTTCAATAAATTGTGTACTTTTATTCATATTTCTGTTTGTGTGTATAAGAAACAAGCCTGTTTATGAACCTTTGAGGTATATTCAAAGTCCCACTCCCAAATAGCATATTTTATTCATTCACTAACAGCCCCATTTTCAGATGTGAATGGGGACTAATAGTCATGCACATGTGGAAAAAAAGCTATTTCTAGCCCCTCTCTTTCCTCAACATATGAATTTCAATGGAGGTACTGAACATACAGTAAAATGACTATCACTGACTCCCTATGTTCTCAAAATGGGCTCAGACAACCAATTATTCTAGTTTATTAGGTCAGCTAATTTGCATATACCAGTCTTCCTAACTTCACAAATCCCTGAAATTTATAAAGAATGTCTTTGGAATTCCATTAGGCCTCTGCACCACAATTGTCTGTGCTTGAGAGCTATATACACGTTTGGAAAAAGGAAAGCAGAGGTCATTGTATTCTGACAGCAAGGCCTGCTATAGCCTGCAGGGCTGGTCAAGCATACATTTTCCAATGAGGTGGTTGAAGAGAGGTTGATCAGTAGATTGATTTCTCTTCAACCACCATACCATACATGGATCAAAATTTGGCCGGTTCACCAGTTCAACAATTTCGATCTATGTATAACCAGGTTTACATATTACTCCCTCCTCGTAAACATTACAAAGCAGTGAGAGCATGTAAGGATTTTTAAGCAAATAAATAAAAACATTTATAAAGCTAACCAGCAACTTTATTTATTTTTTAAGTTATGCTATGTGAATGGGGACATATAACAAATGTAAAGTTGGTGCTATCCCAATTTGGCTGCAAAAGGGGAAAAGCACTTTAAGCAGCCTGCTTTGCAGTAAACCTTTTACTTTTCCTATTAGGTGCAAAGTAAAGGTTCTTTTTGTAAAATTGAAAATATGTGGACAACTCTTGACTCTGCCTAAAGAAGATCTTTTGCAAGAATACAGTGCGAGTAGGGCATTACAGAACCAAATAAAGTGTTTGTAAAGTATTTTTTTTTTATTTTAAATTATCAACCTGTTATACTTACCTGCTTTGTGCAGTGGTGCTGTACAGAGCGGCCCCTAACCTCATCTTCTGAGGTCCCTCATCAGCGCTTTTGGCTCCTCCTCAACTCGATGTGTCACCATAGGAAGCTGACACAGACAGCAAGGCTCAGCCCTGCTCCCAGGACTTGACTGACAGCAGCAGGAGTTAATGACGCCTTCTGCCTCAGCAAAGCCTGTGAGAGCAAAGAGAGCTGCTACAGATCTTCCCCAGCTGGGCAGAGCGCTGGATTGAGTGAGGGCTCTGGTATTTATAAGGGGGGTCAGGGGTCATGTAGGCAGTTTCCATCTGTTTGCTCTCCTGTAGGTGGCTCTCAGACGAGTGCTATCACAGCCTGGAGAGGAAGCCAGGGAATCCTGTCATTTCTGTGGTTTCCTGAGTCATGGAGCAGTGTACCGGTTGGCTCTGCTGCATCCATGTGACCCCCTAGAGGCCATCTTGGATCAGCAATGCCTTTATAAGTTGCTGCCTCTGGGTTTTTGTGTGCTTTTGAGAAGTAAGTGAGACCTCATCTGATAAGGGAAGTGACTAGTGGCAGGGAAAGGTGCCTGATGAGGAGGGACAGGTTAGGGAACCACTTTCCTCATGAAAGTTTCCCCTTTTGGGACCGGACCAGCCAAGCCACACTTCACCCACTGAAACAGACGCTGTTGGAGCATTTCTTCCCGCTGCATCTCTGCCTTGAACTGAACTGTGAGTGTTTTCCCCA